TTTCGAACGCCGTGTACGACATAAAATCGTTTCGAAGTCAGTAAACACAACCAGAATTCAGTGTGCTGTATTTTCCAAAAAACACGGTAATAACGACGGCCCGCTAGCATGCTCTACCAAAAACAGTGCTTTGTTGTGTATCTGATGGACAAAAGCTAAACCAGTTCCACACCACTGAAGTTGCAGCATTTTCATCCGTTTCATTCAACGATCCGCTTTCGCCCTTCTCATTGCCGCCATGCTTTTTCTGCCATGTGCGTATGAAAACAAAGGCACTGCGCATGCGCGTTTTACCCATATTCTATCGCGATATTTCATTTTCTTATCGTTCATTTTATATGGACATATCTGTGTATATGAAGACTGAACAAAGCCTCATCTCTCCTTTACTTGTCTTCATCCTGACTCTTACTCTTCCATACCACACCAGCACCAGACCTCACCTACTATAAGTTGCATCACATGTGTGATCACACATACCACTAGTGATGGGCACTGCGTATAATTCACAAGGCTGGTTATCTAGATCATACTCACAAATTCTTTCATCAGGCAAAGTTACTTAAATTCCAGGATCTGGTTAATTACAATACATCCATAATTTTGTATAAAGCTTTTACTAAACTTTTACCGGCAAATTTACAAACTAGATTTGAAATTCGAGAAAAGGTTTATAATGTGAGAGGCTTTGGAGAATTCAAATTACCCAGAACTCGAACAACCCGTAAAGGTTTTTGTGTGTCTGTATGTGGTGTGAAAATCTGGAACAGTCTGAGTTTACAACTGAAACAATGCAAAAATATTCATAGATTTAAATTTCTCTACAAACAGTTGGTCTGGTCACAGTATACTCAATGATGGTTTTTTAGTGTGCTCTGTAATGTCTGTTCTCTTACCATTGCTGGTATGGATTCAAAAAAAAAAAAAAAAAAGACTGTGCGTATGTATGTACATATATGTACATGTGTGTGTAGATATATATGTATGTATATGTATGTGTGTATGTGTGTGTTTGTTACTTGTAGTTATTACTGCCTGTTACCTGTGGTAATGTAATTTATAATTTATATATTCTGTATTCAGTTATGAAGGCTCTAATTGTTGCTTGCGAGCTGCAGTTTAGATGCTTGTATGCGCCCGGGGCTGTTGATGGGACTGTATGCAATAATGGGCGTAGCTGCGGGAAGTATATTGTTTTTTTTGTTTTTTTTGTTGATGAGTGAGTATAGGGGTGGGATTTAATAAGTTTTCTTCGTCCCACTCCTTTTTCAGGCAATTTTTGTTTTTTGTTTTGTGCATTTTATGTTCAATATAGGTATTTGTTGTGCCTGGAAATGAACAAATAAATGAATGAATGAAAATGAATTTGGATTTTCTTTTTAGAGAACTGGCTCTTTCGGCTTGTCGAACCGGCTCTTCAGGTTGTTTTGTTGCTTTAATTAATTTATTATTAACAAAAATATAAAATTATACAAAAAAGGAATTACTAATGTAAAAAAATGTGGTTTTATTTATGTTTATATATAAATATATGCGGTGGCCCCTAGAGACAAAAGTCCAAAGCACATACAAACTCCAAAACACATTTCTAGCGTTAACTGAACTTCCTTAACAGAGCTACCTAGATCTCTTAAATTACACAATTGAAAGCATATGTGTATTGTTTGTGTATTTATACACAAGCACTCATATATATTCAAATAATTTTAAAAAAATGTTCATTTACCTGTTACTACCACACACCAAATCTGGTCGTTGGTACTTCCTGGCTTGTGTAGCCACTAGGTAACAAAAGCTCAACACTGCCCCAGCATCCTGGAGCACTTCTGTTGTGTTTTGTACGTGTTTTGGAGTTTTTACGTGCTTTGTCTCTAGGGGCCACCGTAAATATACTTTTATTTATTCACTCCACATAAAATGTAATAAATAAATCATATAATACAAAAACCAACTATTCACATTTCAACTTTTAACTATTTAAATTTTCAGCTTTTTCCTTTTAAACAAATTTAAAGTGAAACAACACAAAACACTGCAAACCACAACACAATTAAATATAAATTAAAATATGAAAACAAAAAGAAGATGCATATTCTCTGTCATATGGGCCTGCATGAATAAACTTTCTGAATCCTTTATCATCCGCAACTGAAAATAGTTGTGGATGATTACTATACCTTTCTAATGTGACATTGTTGTCCCTGGCTCTCTTTCTCTCTATTTCCCTCTCGCTCTGTTCCTGTGCTACTGCGAGTGTAACTACCGCCCCTCCCCCCTCTTCCCAGAGCAAGCACAAGGCTCGCGTGCGAAGTGAAGCGGAAAAAAATGCGAGAGAGAAGCTGAAAGAAAGAAGAAAAAAAAACACCCACAGCTGGCGTCGTTCACTTCAAAGAGTCGGCTCTAAGAGCTGTTTCGTTTGCGACCGACACATCACTACATACCACAAACTTCCCTCATATGAAGCAGCCTGCAATGTCAGCTCAGCAGAAAAACTTGTCAAGCTCCTCTGATTTGAACTCCCCCTCCATGTTAATGCTACAGAATGGAAGGATGTTGTAGTAATACAACAAGGTCCATGTAGAAGCCATCTTCTGGCCGTGGGTGGTGACAAAGCCATTGCAATACAGACACAAACTCTGACAGCTACACACAAAATTCTAACAGCTTTAATATTTGGACTGCAGGTCCATAAATGCTTCTCTGGATCCAGGGGTTTACTTCAAGAAATGACTCTGATATTGGTTTGAGCTCTAAGAGAGGACATCAGCTGACTCCAGTTTAGGCATGGTGTTGCCTGACTCTGGGCCACTTTGAGGCTGAGGAACTGGGCAGCGATGAGAACAATGACACAGGCAGCTGAGGAACACAATGGTACGAGGAAGTCTAGCAGGATAAAAAAAAAGTCAAAGTTGGACTACAATACTTCTCCACAACATGGAAAGCCTTGCTTTCTTGTTGGGTGTCATCTTGAAAGCCAGTCAGGTTCCCAAGAAAAGAGAAAACTGTCAGAGTTGGAACTGGACAAGAAGCCAGTTGACTCAGGCAGCAAACAGGGTGACTATCAGGTTCCACCTGATTCATACTCTTTATATTTAGCGTGGTTGCCCATTATCCCATTAGTCTGACTTCCAGCCCATATCAGCTGATGGCTCAGTTGATAACCTTAAGCAGAGTCATGTCTGTTGTTATTGGTAGTCTGTTCTGTTCTGATGACGCTTTTATCTACCGTTTTCAATACGTCCATTTAAAAATGAAGAGAACCTAAAACAATCATACCGCATATGAAAGTAAGAGTTTCCTTTTGTCTATAGTAGTCATGACTGAACTATGCTAATGGGTAACACACATTTCTGCTTGTCAGAGTGTACAATGTTCTTATCACATCATCACATAAAAATCACATAAAAAGTTATACTGTGATGGAAGGGAGGGGGGGGGAGAAAACTACACTAAAGGTATAAGAGGTAATGGTGTCTGCAAGTACGGAAAGGAAAGGAAACAGGAAAGAGAAGAAAATCTATTATAAACAAAACTCTGAACATAGTGACATTTGTTGGGGGGAAAGAAGGAACAAATGATAAAACAAAAGATCAAAGAGGAAAATACATATTAAACAAAGATAAATAAGAAACAAGAAACAGAGATAATGAGAAAAGAGAAAAGAGAAAGAGAGAGGGAAAATGAAAAGTGGACCAGAAAATGAAGCCCAAAACGAGTGCAGAGGAAATGAAGAGAGGAAAGAAAATGATCTGAGAATTAAATAAAAGAAAACAGATGACAGGAAAAGTAAAGGCAAAAAAAGAGGGGAATAAAAGTTTTGGGTAAAGAATGAAAAGAACAGAGGAGAAAAAACTTATAAAGCAAGAAGAGAAAATATCTAATGTAAAAATAGCAACACAGGAAGGGAAAGAAAGAAGGTTAAAAAGGAAGCAAGGAAGGAGTATGAAATAAGAAATGCATCAAAACCAAAAACAGTAATAAGTAAGTGAGAAACACAAAGGAAAGAAATCAGTGGAAGAGAAACAAAAAAGTAGACCAAAAAGGAGATAGGGTCAAGAAATTCAAGTAGAAGAGGAATGAATAAAAAAAACATAGGAAAGTAAAATAAGAGAAAACAAAGGAAACAGGAAAGGAATGCTTGGAAGGTAGAGGAAAGGAACTTATCCAAAACTAGAGAACACAGAGAATGGAGGCGTGTGACATCTTCCCAACCCGTGTAGATGGATACAAGAGGAGAAAGAACAAGAGCAGCAGGATTAGATGACAAGCTGAGGCAGCAAGCGAATGCAATAGCATCCCTTGACATGTCCTTATCTGGTTTAGAAACCCAGATTTCTTTACTGATAGCTGGCAAACCCTCAGTAATCAAAGCACAGACCTCTCCCTGTCTCTTCATCAAAGTCTGTCCACTTCTACATTCAAGTCTTTCACCACCACACTCCAACTGTAAACTTGACTTGGATTGGAAATGCACCTTTCACCATGACGCTTACATCAAATATCAGCACCCACCATGAAATTTCCACACTGTGATGCTTATCTGTGTGCTGGCAGAGCTGCAAAGAGGATGTTAGAAGCGTGTTTTCACCCTTCCTCAGTGCAGAAAAAGAGGAACAAAAGTCACACATAATTGTGTCTGTCAGACACATCGCATGCTTCAAATTTACATGACAGTAATGGCTGTGAGGGCCGGACACCAAACAATGCGCCTTTGTGTTTGATGCAAGGTTGACGTCCTCTGGCATCGCCAGCAGTGCCATCACAATCGCATTGTTCATTGGTCTAAAAATGTGGCAACGCTGTTTATCAGTCACCTATTCTGAAGCACAAGGGGCCAGCGAGTCTCACGGCTGTTGTTGTGAAAAATCCATTAAAGGTTTCCATATGAGACCAGCAGGGGTGGACTGGGGCTGAGGTGTGTGTGTGTGTGTGTTTCTCGGTGATTACCAAGGCTGTGGGCAAACACACAGCAGGATGAAGAGAATTCACACAGGACTCACATTGTCTGATCTGAGCTTCTTGGCAGGGCAACCTCCATCCACAGGATGTAGCATGTAATACAGTCGCACTTTGTTGGCATGTTTCCGACTCTGCAAGAGAAAAAAGAGGAAATGACTCAAATCTAAAATGTAAATAGGCATATACATCAAATATATTCTTGTCAAATAAATACATGGATATAAATTCAACAGTAAACAACAAGACAAAATACATGTATTTGGTTGAGTTTAAAAACATCACCCAAATGTGTGGATCAGAATAAAAAGAAGGCTAAATCCCATTGTCCCAGGCTTTCTCCCAGACAGTCACACAGTGGTTGGAGACCATTACACGAACAAATTATTGCAATCTTTTGCAACAAACTTGTGATCTTGTTGTCTACAAAGACTTGCAATCAATTGCTGTCGTCAGGCCTCAATACATAGGTGTGTCAAGATCGCAATAAAATGAGAATACAATGGAGTCAACTTGCTATCAGCTTATCATTGAACAAATTGACAATTACATGCAATCTATGACAGCACAGCGATTAACTATGATAAATCCCTGAAAATCACAAATCTGCAGTTGTCTGCTTACAGAGAAATTTACATTAACAACTTATATTCAGAGTCCAGTCAGAAATTCGTACATTTGAAACAGAAATTCAGAAACATCTACATAAATGTTCAAGTAGTTGCAGCAAGACGGTAATTTGAGTGCAAAATAACACAGAGGCTTAGTAAACGTCCTATTAATTGCAAATATTTCAAGGCTACAAACCGTTGATAACACTGCAGAAACAAGAAAAAGACATTTTCACAATGAAATGGCAATACGAAAGGGGTAAGGATGAAACCATAGAGATTTCTCCGCTTCAGGCAACTACTACTACTGCCTGTCACCCCTCCCAGGGTATGGGCCGCCAAAGGTAAAGTTTTCTGTCCTGGGCCATTCTTTCTAGATGGTTCCAGGTGTAAGCCCATCATTTTTGATTTTGCCACAAAGTCTCGTCGCCAGGTGTTTCTTGGGTAGCCCCGCTTTTGCTTTTTTGCCTTGGGGTTCCACCTGAGAACCTGCCTGGTGATGTTGGTTGGCGGTTTGCCCCTGCAACATATCTTCTCTGCCACGGTACTAAGAGACACCCTGTTCATGCCTGAACCACTGCTACTGACCTATTTAAAACTGCAATATAAACTTTCCTTATATATTTTTGATCTGCCATTTATAAAGCCTGTGCTTGTACAGATGATAAATATCATGTTGAAAAACTGCCCTGTTAAGTTCCTGTGTTTCTAATAAGGCAGTTTGCTTTTAAAATATGCTTTTACAGGAAAAGCCTGAGAGATATTGCATTAACCTCCTAGGACCTGGCCTCCACATATGTGGACATCACATTTTAGGGCTGTCTAGACCAAAATACTAAAATTTACATCAGTATTTGCTGGAGCTTATTTGAAAAAAAAAAATGATGTTGTTCAAACAAAAAAGAAAAACTTTCAGAACAACTCTTCTACCCTTTAGTTCTCCCTCTTGTTTCAAATTACTGGCTTAGGTTAGAGGACCCATTAAAAATAGGTGAAGGCCGTCAAATGAGGTGCACTCTTCCGATCCCTGATACTGGACTGAATTGATAACTAGTGCTCGGTTTACTGAGGTTGAAGCAGGAGTCTTCTTACCGGCAGCCCATCAATCCCCCAGGATCTGATAGCACAGCCATGACAGGAGAAAGACGGGATTTGGGAGGGCAGATTAGTTCATCTGAAAATGACTCTGCTTAAGGATGTAATGCTTTAGAAGTCAAGGGGAATGACACAAGGTAGGAGGAGGAAGTAGGAGGTGAAGGAAAACATCCTTGGATACTGCAATTTTTCTTTTTAAAGAATGCCACAGAGGAGTGATAGCTACAAAATAAGTCTAGTGAAGCATGTATAGTAGCAGCGTTAACAGGGCCTGATGCCTTACTCCAGCGGACAGGGGTATCAGAGACATCCATGTGTATGCATTTCTTTACAAGGGCAAACTCATCCTGCCTGGGCAGCGTGGGGAGAGCAAGCCTGCGTGAATATATCTGTCTTGCCTGTCTGGTCTCCTGGCAGAGACACAGCAACATGAGCTCTGCTGCTTCTTTAAAAAGAAAACAAACAGAGCTTGAAAAGCAGGAAGGGCTCATGAATATTCACTCCGCACTTATCATTAAAATCTGAGCCGGTTTGATCACGTACGTTTTATATTATATCTGCATGAAAAAAAGAATTTTCAACTTTTAGCTCAAATAAATACAAACAAAGCATTCTAGTGTTATATAAAACTCTGGTCTTGATCTGTGCATGATGTTTTACTCTTTAGAGCAACAAGGGAATGTTTCTAACTGATAGAAGGACGGAAATTTGACTATTTGAAATTCAATTTTTTCCCCAAACTTACCGATAAACTGGCTAAAATAAAATGATTTATTCTTTGGCAGAACCAGGCAGTGTGGTTTTGTTCAAGCAGTTTGATGATGTGTGAAGATATATTTTTGATCTGTATGCCAAAAGAGTCTCACATGACACTGCATAAAAGTTGGTACACCACACAAAATGTGTTGCTTTCACAATAAAGGCTTTAAAACTGTGACAAGATTATTTTTCTTTCTTTCTTCTTTTGGTTCTTTGACTTATGTGTCGAATTTCTTCTTTCTTGTTACACATTGTACAAAAATCTCTAAAAATGAATTTGGCCATTCACTATTTCATAAAAAACATGTAAAGAATAATCTAAATATATATTGTCCATTCATCCATCTTTTTCCGTTTATCTGGGGCTGGGTTGCAGGGGAAGCAGCCTAAGCAGAGAAGCCCAGACCTCCCTCTCCCCAGCCATGTCCTCCAGCTTATCCAAGGGAAATACCGAGGTGTTCCCAGGCCAGTCGAGAGATACAATCTTTCCAGCATGTCCCAGGTCTGCCCCAGGGCCTCCCCCCGGTGAGACATGCCCGTAACGGACGATCTGATATCCTCGTGTTTGTGTTGTTCCCTCGTCATTATAAATAATGTTGTTCCAGGTTCAACATTGCAAGTGACCAATCACCTTCTGCTGACGTCATCCGCGACCTCAAAAAAAACTAACGCCTTCAAAAAATCTATTTCACTTGCGAGAAGAGAAACCGCCTCTGTAAGGACAATATGTATAATGCTTACCGTTTATTAAAGGAAAGTATCCTGAAATGCAAAGAATTCAAGTTCCTGGATCGGCGGACAGAAGCGGTTTCTCTTGTCGCAAGTGAAGTAGATTTTTTTAATCTCGCAGCTTAAGTACAGTTTTTTGTTTTACGCCGGTTTTTCCCGAAGTCGCAAAAGTATGACGTCACAACATTCTGATTGGTCACTTGCAATGTTGATCCTGGAACAACATTTAGTATGATGATCTGGGAACAACACCAACACGAGGATACCAGATCGTGCGGGAACAACACCGACATGAGGATATCAGATCATACGCCTGGAACACCTCACCCAGGATACGCCGAGGAGGCATCCATGTCACATGCCTGAACCAAGAGCAATTCAGAAGACCCTTATAAGAAGAACACCTAGGGGACAGTTCACCCTGCCCGGAATAAGGTTACCAGGGCCTTGCCCTGGAGCCAGTCCCGTGGAGGGTGTCTGAGGGTGAGCATCTGGTGGCCGGGCCTTAGTTCATGGGGCCCGGTGGGGCACAGCCCGAAAAAAGGACATGGGCCCATCTTCCTGCAGGCCCAACGCCCGCAGGAGGCATCATAGGGGTCGGGTGCATTGTGTGCCGGGCGGCTGTCAGGAGCTGAGGCCCTGGCGGACCCCCGATCCCCAGCTACCAAGACTTCAATAAATATATACAGAGGAAGAAAAATGTAAATAAAAACTGGCAAAATGTACAAAACACTAAATTTGTGCTAGCTAGCATTGGTACGATAGATAGATCAATCACATCTTACAAAACCAATCTTCCTTTTTGCTCTCCTTTTTGGAGATAAATTATCTAACACAGATGATAGTGCTGGGACAACAATCTTAACCTAAATATCAAACAGATCAAGGAGCTGATTGTGGCTTTGATGAGGACAAGGAGAGACTAATGCAATCCCAGATGAGCAGGGCAGGAAGTTTAAATTCTTCTTCATGATCATCATAGAGGACTTTATATGGTCCACACACACCAATAGGTGAGGATTGTCCAACAACGCCTGTACAATCTCTGGTGCCTGTAGAAATGTAGAGTGAGCCACAGCATTTTCTGGTCTTTCTGAGGCAGCTCCACTGAGAGCAGCGCTGCAGTATCGTCTGGTATGGAAGCAGCACCACAGAGGAATGTGGCATCTTCAGAGAGTGATGAGGGAGGGAAAGCACATAACCTAACCTGTTCCCAGGCTGTAAGACTGGGAAAAGTCTGGAAAACACTACCCACTGCAAATTAAAAATCACAGATCTGAGAATAAAGCTGAATCGAAAAATGCTAGGTTGACTTTAAATGTTTTTTATGCAGACTTTGTTTTGTTAAAATCCTGCGTTTGGTGCCGTGGCCACATGTAGCTGTCTCACATTCAGCTATGGGCCTGGGCAGGCCATGTAATAATGAATGCTGATTATGGGAGAAATCCTATTCCACACTGAGGGCACAGCAGCAAGACAATCAACTAGAGTTTAAATTCAATTTCCTGTGAGGTGAGTGCATATATATGCACCAAAATAAAACAACAAATGTAAATGGGAGGGATAGAAGATCACTCTATCAAAACATTTACTTTAGTTGGTGTTTTGAAGAAGGTGGTAGAGAGAGCCGTCTAACATGCTAGTCTAAAATGTCCGACAGTTGTTCGATCACAATGAAATGCAGTGACTGTGAAGGCCACAACATATGATTCACATCATTTCACACTCATCAAACAATTCAGTGAGCTGTTGTGCCCAATGAACAGGGGCATTGTCATCCTAGAAAAGGCCACTCCTATCAGGATAGAAATGTTTCATCATATTAATAAAAGTGAAAACTTTGCATTGATATCCAGTGATCCTTCCCATGAAGGTAGTAAAACGCATAACAGAGCCAAGGTGTTGAATCGAAAAGGTTGTGGTGGAGCATCATTTGAGGC